GCTAATCTGGTAAATGTAATAGACCACAGTTTTTAGCCAAACAGAGTTTTACCAACATTCTGCAACAGAGCCCAAAAGGACTCGTTCAAGGAAATGGCTAGTCGCATTGCCTTCATTAAACTCTGTTATTCCTTTAAAAAAATAATTCCCAAAAATAACATATTTTTTCTCTTTACAACTACAATAACGAATAGATAAGACTTATCCTGAAATTGAAGTCTTTAATAACAAAAAATACACCTTGTAGCGTCTAAAAATTAATAGATCAGATCAATTTATAAAATACTAGATTAAACATTAGCAATTTTTGAAACAATTTTACAACAATTATTTGTCAAAAAATGGTCTTTTCAATTAATTTTTTCTTAATTAATTGCCTTGTATGTATATGCAAAAGAACAGTAAAGAAAAAAAAGTGCAATATCACCATTTTCCTCACCGTACACATTCTGGAATTTTAAATTGTCTGAATAACTTTTAAAATTGTAGTGTGACAATAATTATATTTAATACAGATTTGATTTTGATTAACAGGAAATGTCTTATAAAAAAATCTATCAGTGCATTTTTTAAAAAATAATAAGAAACTTTGACTCGTAATTTTGCGAATGTTTGTGAAATTTTTAAATGCCACTTATCTTTTTTACTAGGCCTTATCTTCAAATGAGTCCACCACGTATAAAAGCTCAACAACAAATGAACCACATTTCCTGCAACACGACCAATTGAGAATACTCAGAATAACTCTCATTGTTTAGACGGTGTTTCGGCGTGTATGGAACTGAGAGAAAGTTCCATCAAATTGAATGGAATATCGTAAGTATTGTTAGTGGTTTTTACATTCAAATGAATTAATCTGTTTGAAAGCGCCCAATGCACATATGATGGTAATGAGTTTTAGAAAGTGATGACGCTAGATGTGTCAAAAATATAAAGCAGAAACTTTGCGAGTATTACAACCTACGAAACCGTCACTAGCGAGAGAATACATATGCCTGCTTTAGCACCACTAATTGATTGCATTAATTGCCAGAAAATGTTTTTATGAACATAAATTGTCATTTAGCTAAGCCACTCATTTACATTTATAGCAATAAATACAGGTCAAAAGAATACATTTGTAACCTTTTAACTAATATATAGATATATGCTTACATGTTCCCTTAGCTCATTAAACTGCAACTAAAATCTCCTAACTGAAAAAAAGTTACCAAAGTATATCTATTGAACGCGTGATTTACATTGCTGTGTTGTCTGGGTGTGTGTGTATGTCTGATGTGTGTGTGTGTCAGTGTGTGTGATGTGATATGTGTGTTGTCTGTCTGAGAATAGTTATACATGGTCTGTCTCATGCTGTGTGTGTAATAGTGACTGTGTGTGTGTCTGTGATGTGTGTCTGTGTGTGTGGTTATTTGTGTTGTACAACCTGTGGTCGTTGGTCTCTGTACTGTGTGGTGTCTGTGCATGTAGAAATGTGAGATCGTCTCTGTGAAATGTCTGCGATCTCAGTTCGTTTGTTTGTGTTCTGCTGTCTGCGCGTGCGTGTCTGTGCGTTCTCTGCGTGTCAATTTGACATCGACTTGCTGCTGCCTCACTGATATGCGTGTCTGTGTCTGCGTTGCGTATCTGTTGTCTGCGTGCGTATCTTGGCGGTGCGTCTGCGTGTGAGGTGCGAGCGTACTGTGTATGTACTATATAAATATACTTAGATATATCACTATATATAGTATCATATCTATATATATATATATATATAATATAACGGATCCTTAAACTGCAATAAAGTATTGAAAAATATCTACTCTACAAACAAAGAACAATACATAGGCGGCAACTTAACATAGGAAGTACGTTGGCATGATTGTAGAACTTGCTCAACAGTTCATACGAGGCCGTTCCAAAACATTCATCGTCTACCTTAAACTGCTCAGGTGTGGTTTTCGAATTTCGCTCCATAGTCGTAAGAGATGTAGACAGCTGAGGCGTTGCAGACGTGAGGTGGCTGCGGTCGAGGGTTCGGGTTCTCGAGCCAGACACTATAAAGACTTACATCTGAGCCCAATCACCCACCCAACTGCACCATCAACTGCTGCGTGAAGCTTGTCATTCATGTTCAATCAGCCTGTAAGACACAAGAACAGAAGCAACCCCCAGGATTACGAAAGCGCACTCGTTGCAAAATTCAGCGCTGGCCAGGCAAATTGATTATTTAGTCTTCTGAGCACCACATCAACTACTTCACCTGGTCAAATAGTGTACAACAACTATAGTGTGACATTTTACTGAAGAAAAGTGAACAAATAAGCTTTCTTTCCCCTGCTTGAAACATGTTATTTGGCCCAGACTATATGACCCACACATTAAATTTGAAGAAGGTTCTCCCTTGCAAATATACACAGTAGTGGAACCATTGCCTCAGCCAGGACAAGCCTCTAAATTCCCAACTGGTCTTCAACTTATTGGCCAAGATAAAGAAGTAAGGACAGAGGGTTGCAATTCGTGGCCCTGCTACGGGTACTTTTGTCTCCTGGCATTTAAGGGCTAAATATTGCATTAAAAAAAAAAAAAAAACATTTTTAAAAAGCACGGTACAAATTACTGAGATTAGACCACCAACCACTAGAATTATTCTCCAGCAGGGTTGAATTTGATTCCAGCTATAAACTTGGTGCCTTGCCAAATGCACTGTTTTACTTGAACCATAGGACCTCCTAGGACAGCAAGCAACTGAGGCCAAGGGCAATGTCACAGTTGCAGGCTGTTAGGGCAATAGGCATTTACAGAAAAAAAATATTTAAGAGGAATCATTTATCAAGAAAATTACCCAAACCACAAAAGTTACATACCTTTACCACAATAAAAATACAAAAGCTTTATTCATACTGAAAAATTTGTCTTACAATTTCATTTCTCGACAAATGTATTAATGTTCATGAAAATTGTTTAGATAATAAATATTATCTGAAATACATAAATATCAGCCAATAGACTTTATTTCTAGTACGCTAAAACATCAAGAAACTATCCAGTTTATTCTAGCGAGTTTCATCACGTGCTAAGATCCAGCAACCCCATTAAAAAATTATCCTTTTAAATGAACAAATGTAGATGCAAATAATTAGGAACAAATATTTAGGAAAAACAACCACTAGAGATGGTTAACTCAGTTTAGCAAATTTTTGTGCCAGGTCAATTCTACCAAACCTATTGGTTCACTGTCCTACGTACACTTAAAGCAGCGTTCTTGGCAGGATATTGGATGATTTGGGTTATCAAGGCTGAAGGCGCGATTTATGTAATTTAGCCACATAGCTAAATGTCCCCCCCCCCTCCACCAAAGGTTAAATTAATGAATTGTCATTTTAATGTACAAGGGGGGATAAACAGACTAAATATAATTTAAATTAAATTCTTATTGCTTTATTTTAAAACTTGCGTTTTAACCACCACATTAATAATGTGCGTGCCTACATTATAATGCTTAGTCAAACTTTTTGGCTCCTGGCAAATATTGTTGATAATATCTCGACAATAAAATATTGTGTGAGATTACAAATTTTTCTAAATGCTAAAATGAAAAGCGGATAATTTAATCTACTTTTAAAGTTCATCTTGATCTTAAGTAGCCGTTTTTGACATTTACAAAAAAAACCACTTTTATCTAGTAAACAATTTTGAAATAGCGTGTACAGCATGTACTATGCCAAAAGCATTATATCAGCATGTCGGAAAAAGAATTGTGAAGGATATAGTATCAGTGCGTCCGAAGATTACCTAGAGCTAATCCGTGCAATTTCTATGCTAAAATGAAAAAGCGCAACTTTAATCTACTTTTGTCATTTTCTTGATCTTGAAGTAAGTTTTTGACTTGTTACAAAAAACCATCTTGTTATCTGAAACAATTGAAATAGTTTGTTACACATGTACATGCAAAAAAAGCCAATATCAACATTCGGAAAAGATTGT